GGGTCTGATTCCCTGAGATCCAGGGCACAACACAGGACCAGGACCTGACCACATACCAGGAGGGAACTAGTCAATGGCTCCTGGGTCCCAAATAGGACTGGAGACGGGGGTGTGGGTGGGGGTGTGGGGGTGTGTGAAGGTGCAGACTGGGTGCACTCAGGGTCAGTGCAGGCGGGGCTTTCAGCCCCAGGACCCAGTAAATCCCTACTCTTCCTGGAAGCACCTTAAAACCACCGACCAGAGGGAGAGGTGCTATAGAGATGCCAGAGGGCACTGACTGCCCTCAAGTCCTGCCTCCTTCAGTGTCTCTTGCTGGGAAGTTTCTCCAGGTGTCTGACCGACATCCTTCCTGGTATAGAGAAGCCAGTGGACACTTGCTTCCCACAGACTCCATGTCTTCAGGGGCCTAAGCATCCTCTTCAGTGGGACCAAGTCCTTAATCGGTAGTATTACAGTAATGAGTCACAGACAACAGCCAATTAATTATCCCAAGTTATAATAGCTCTGCTTCCTGGCCTCCTGCTGCCGGACCCAGGCCGCCCTGCTCCAGGGGCTGGGCGGGAGGAGAGGTCAGACAGCCCTTCTCTGGACCTCAGGTTCCTGTTTCCTTCTTGTCAAGTGTGTGTCCCTGGGGAAGGAAGGGTGCTACGTGAGGATGTGTCAGGCTGGTATGGGAGGAAGGAAGGGGGCCGGCCGGACAGAAGTGTGTGTGTGTGTGTGTGTGTGTGTGTGTGTGTGTGTTTGACGGGGTTCTCCCAAGCTCTTTGTCTCTCCTTCTCCCCAACCACCTGAGTCCCCTTACTGACCCCAGGGCCAACCCTTGAGGCGGACACACTGGCATTCCAGGACACTCCCCACCTTGTCCTCCCATTCCTGGTCAAGCTCCTTCTGCTCCATCAGGCGATTTCCCAAGTACCTGCCCCCCACCCCCACCCCCACCCTTCATGTCCTTTCAGTGCTGGCTCCTGTAAGACCACGGACCCTCTCAGTGCCTCGGAGTCAATTCGGACCCCAGAGGACGGTCTCTGAGGCTGTCAGTCTTCCCAGACACAGACTACCTCCTCTTCTTCCCAAGGAGCAGTTGGTGGGTTTGAATCTCAGACCTCACACACAGCGCCTCTAGGCAGGGCCCCTTCATGTAAACTGGAACCCAGCTCCCCGCCATAGAGATTGACAGCAGCCCACCAGGCCTGGGCAGCCCACCAGTCCACCAGGCCTTCAAATAGCCCATGCTCACTCCCCTGACACCCTCTGCCATCTGAGGCATGGGCTGCAAATCTATCACAGGCTCCCGTGCAGGAGGCCCCGTCTATGAACCAGGGCCACAATTAACCATGCACCACGGGATGCAGGTGGGGGGTACCAATTATTGGGGTATGCCAAAAACCACATGGCAGGGCTCCTCATATGCAGAAGGTACTCAATAAATGCCAACCATGACCATGACCCCCACACTTCAGTTCCCAGTGGGAGGATGGGGGAGAGGTGCTTCAGGGACTGGCCCAGGGAGGTCAGGCTCCCCAGAGGAGGGGCTTGCATCTGGGCTTCTCTGGTTTTGGGTGGGGGGCAGGCAGGGGCAGGAGGGTCTGCCAGAGGACCTGAGGGGAGGCAGTGTTGCTGTGGTACTGGGGCAGGGCCCCCACGTGAGGAGGAGAAGGTGGTGGGTGGGGAGGGACAGAGCTTACTATCAGACCTTCCTGGTGGCGCTGGGGGCTAGGTGCTGGTTTGCCACCTGCCAGGTCAGTGGTCAAGCTCACCAGCCACTCTGGGAGGGAGACGGTGCTCCCTGCTCACATGACGATGTAACGCTGTTCTTGGCTTGTCCCCTAGCAGAGCCCTCCACCCCACAGGCCGGCCAGCTCCGCTCTCCTGACCCCACTGTGTGCCAGGCCTCACGCCGCCCCGTGTTCAGCAGCACTTATTCTGCACCCACCGTGCCCGTGTCAGAGACACTGGGCGGCCGCTCTCTTTGCTGTGCCAGGCTGGGCGCCCAGCCCCCGCCAGGTCCTCTCCCAGCTGGCTTAGGAGAAAGAGGAGAGGCTGATGAGAGCTGCCTGTGCCTGCAGAACCCAGGAAGTGGGAGGAGAGATGGGGGGTGAGGGGCTGGGGTGGGGAGGAGAGGAGAGGATGCTCATCCTCTGCTGTGAGTTTCAGGGTCACCCGAGGTGAGCTCAGCCTCTCTGCAGAGGACCTGCCACCCAGAGCTGCTACAAAACCCTCTCCCGCTCCCAACAGCCTCCTGGCCTGATGTCTGCAGAGCCGCATAGCTCAAACCCAGCCTAGCCCCACTTCCTCCACCGGCCCTGGTGCTGGCTGCAGCCAAACACAGCACTTCCTGACTTGGAGGAGCCTGGAGCCCACCGAGGGAGGGGCTGAGGCTGAGGCATCCTGGGCGAAGAAGGGCTTTCTGCTGAGGGCTCTCACCCCACCCCAGGCCCAGATCTTAATTCCTGCTCTCTGGCCTGGGGCAGGCCCCTTCCTCTGTTTTGCTTCAGGCTGCCCGGTGCCACCTCCTCCCAGTCAGGCCTCAGCCTGGAGATGTGGCCATGGTCTGGAGACCCCAAAAATCAGGCTCTGTCTTTGACTATGACAAGCGGAGAAGGTGAGCAGACCCCATTTCCCCAGGCTCCCCATGGAGAGAGCCTGACCCTTGACCTCTGCGGCCCTGTTCCTGTTAGACAGCCAGACTAGGGACCAGGTTGTCTACTGGGCATGCTCCAAAATTCAGGCTCTGAGTCAGAATGGGGCGGTACACCAATCTGGGCCAGGTGGGCTTAATTCAGCAGGGCAAACGGAAGCACAAGAAGAGCAAGAGGTCCATCCTGGCCGGTGGTCACACAGCTGGGTGTGTGGTCACTCTGGGAATCAGCTCTGGTGCCCTTGTGTGTCTGTCTGCTCACTCGGGCACCTGGAGCGCCCAGCTGAGGGGGCCTGTGGGCAGCTGGCAGAGCAGCGGAGGCTCCCGGAGGGCAGGGCGGCTGTTGCCAGGACCAGGCAAGCCTTCCTGCCCCTCCACCTGAAGACGCTTTTTTTTTTCTTTTGGCAGGCTGTGAGATGGCCGGCCTGGAGGAGGCGTCTCCTCTGGCCTCAGGTCTCCACGTGTGGGTGCGAAGTTCCCTGAGGATGCCCATGTAAAACCTGAAACTTCCATCCTTTATAAAACTCACTCAGATCATAAACCAGGCTTCAGAGTGAATTATCTCTCATGTGACTCCAAGGACCGAGGTATTTCCACCCAAGAAACCTCAGTCCCTTGACCTCTGCTGCCCTGCCCTGTCTTGGACCCTGGAGGATTCAGAGGCTGGCTTCTGTGTTCAGACAGGCAAAGCCGTATTCTGGGCAGCAAAGCGTTTAGACAAGCAGTGCACAGGAACTGGGCTCCTTCAGATTAGAAACCAGCTCTGCTGCCTGATAGCGGGCGCTGGGGACGGAGCAGATTCGGTATCTGCATACTGAAGGCGGCTTTATCTCGGCAGAGCCCCGACTTGCATCCTGGAGGGGCCCATAGCTCAGGTGACCAGGTACGGGTGCCAGTTCCCAGGCCCCAGGATGGCCGGGCTCACCTCTCACCATCGTCACCCGTCACCTGCCTGCCCGTCTGGATCTGCCCAGATGCCCAGAACCTCTGCTCACCTTGGGGGGGACCCCACCCTGTGGTGCTCCCCTCCCAGGCATGACCTTGGGGAGCAGCCCAGCCCCAGCCTCTGAGTGCTTCTCAGGCACAGGCAGGCCAGGGGAGCGAGTATCTACCTCACCCACCTGGCCAGATAGGTTCAGAGACTGCCGTGGGCCCTGGAACTCACAAGGGGCACTGACTCAAATACCCCCCAACCCCTCCCCACAGCTGGGGCTCCCTGGTCGCCGTGGCCCTGGCCCTGGGTGGCTCACCGGTGTGGTGTCATCGTGTGAGCGCTGGTAGCGTTTCCAGCGGCAGCCATAGATGCCCGTGAGGCAGGACAGGCACAGCTGTGGCTCGTAGTACTGCAGCGGCTGGTGTCTCACCATGCTCGTGCCCGCAGCCCTGGCACCCCGTCCTCATGCACCCATGGAGGTCCAGTGGGTCCTGTGGGAAGAAACAGGCTGTGAGGCATAGGAGGGGCGGCTGTCAGCTGCAGACACACCGACACCGCTCCACAGAGGCTCCCTGTTCCTCCACCCCAGAGTCAAAATGCCTCCCTGGAGGGCCCCCCTCCCTGAATTGTCCCCTGCCCACGTGCTCATACATCCACCCCCCCCAACCCCTCCTCCTACTGGCCCATCTCACACTTGGCTTGTTGCTGTTGGATCTGCCTGGCATGCCCTTTCCACGGCCCCTCCCTCCCCGTCTCTAGTCTTCGATCACAAGGCCTTTTCCCAACCCCTTCGCACTCCCAAAGCCACACTCAGTTCCATTTTCTCAACCACATCCTAAAATACCATGACCTGCTTCTTGCCTGCCTACCCATAGCTAGAGCAGACTCTGCCGAGGGCATGGGAGCACGCTGGCCATGGCTGTTCCGGCCCATCACCACAGACGCCTGAAGAGACAGATTCCCCAGGGGTGGAAACCCCGTTTGACAGCAGGGCAAACGGAGGCGCAAGAAGAGCAAGAGGTCCTTCCTGGCCGGTGGTCGCACAGCTGGGTGTGTGGTCACTCTGGGAATCAGCTCTGGTGCCCTTGTGTGTCTGCTCACTCGGGCACCTGCAGCGCCCAGCTGAGGGGGCCTGTGGGCAGCTGGCAGAGCAGCGGAGGCTCCCGGAGGGCAGGGCGGCTGTTGCCAGGACCAGGCAAGCCTTCCTGCCCCTCCGGATACCTGAAGATGCTCTCGGGGAGACCAGCCTGCTGCAACCAGTGCTGGCCGATGGTGGCCAGGTGGTCACTGGCTTAGGACACCTCACATACCAGGAGCTCTGGTGGGGCAGGGATTAAGCATTCAGCTCTTAAACCAAAGGTTGGTGGTTCAAGCCTGCGTGGCCGCTCTATAGGACAAAGATGTGGTCATCTGCTTCCCTTAGAGATCACAGTCCAGGGAGCCTTATGGGCCTGAGACCTTCTGGCACCCAACTTCATGACCCCACTGCTGCGAAGCAGTCAACATCGAGAAATGCACCTGGTTTTACAGGGCAGAACCTGGGGCTCAGAGCAGAGGCGTGGCTGGCTCAAAGGAACACAGCTGCACAGGCTTCCAGACACAACTCTGGATGTGTGTGCGGGATGGGGGCTCCAGAAACAATGTCAGTCGTGGGCCCTGCAGCCGGAACCCTGACAGAACCACCAGGTGCTGGCTGTGCACAGGGCGATATGCCAAGTGCCTTCTGTGCGTTACCCCTAACAGGGACCCCATAGAGTAGCGGTTCTCAACCTGTGGATCACAACCCCTTTGCAGGTCGAACGACCTTTTCACAGGGGGTGCCTGATTCATAACAGTAGCAAAATGACAGTGATGAAGTAGCAAGGAAAATAATTTTATGGTGGGGGGGCGGGTCACCACTACATGAGGAACTGTATTAGAGTCAGGGCATTAGGAAGGTTGAGAACCACTGACCTAGAGAATGACCGGCTTAAAACCGCGACATCATCACGGCCACAGAATCCACCCTTGGAAAGCGTGCAGTCCAGCACGCAGTCACCACTACCATCCACTTCCAGGGCTTTCCCATCATCCCAGGGGGAAACCCATTAGCAGTCACTTCCCATTGCCCCTGGCAGCCACGAGCCTACTTCCTGTGGCTTGCTGGGGACTCCCCGATGCTGGAAACTTCACGTGGATGGGATCGCAGAATGTGTGGTCTCCCGGGGTGTGGCCTGTCTCACAGCGGCGTGTCTGCAAGGTTCATCTGTGGCAGGACGTGGCGCCTACTCTGTTCGTTTCCGACGGCTGAAAGCTATTCCGTCGAATGGGTGGAGAGCCCACAACTGGTTTCTCCAGCCATCAGGCTGTGTCCATCCTGGTGACAACTCGCTGCCGTGGACATCTGTGCGCAAGCTTTTGTGTGGATGTGTTTCCGTGTCTCTCGGGTCTCTACCTAGGCGTGGGCTTGCTGGGACACGTGGCAGGATTCTGCATTTAACTCACGAGGGGCTCTCCACCTGTTCGCAAAGTGGCTGTGCCATTTCACTTTCATCCCGGGGGAGAAGCAGGAAGCCGTGGGAGGCTGGCAAGCTTCTCTGTATGGCTTCCAGCGGAGAATAGATGTTGCATTTTCCAGTGATCAGGAAACAGAAAACGCAAGGAAGAGGGCTATTTTGCAGACTGTGAAAATTATTTAGGAAATCCAAATGTTCATAAATAAGGCTTAATTGGAATGCAGCCGGGCACGTACTGGTTTACATATGTAACGAATGCGGATGCTCCTGGCTGCTATCGGCACTGTAATGGCACACAGAGCAGAGTCGTCCCAGAGACTAGTACTCTAAGCGCGGTGTGGGCTGGAGTGAGCCAGGAGGGTCACTTGCCAGGTGTGGGGAGGGCTGGGGCACGCTTCCTGGAAGCAGCCCTGACAGGCCTGTGACCGGAGCCCTAATATGCTACTCCCCAAAACCCCAGGGTCTGTAGCAGAGAGCCCAACTGGACGACTCCCCTCCTGGGCTCACCAGGCTTTCTGCTCACAGCACCCACCTCCTCGTCTCCCATCAAATGCCAACCAGGAATGCAGCCTAGAGCATCAGGGGAGAGACGCTGGGAACATCAACTGCCCGAGCCTCCTAAGGGCTGGGAATTGGGGCTAATGCTGTCCCTGGAGGGTCCTGGGGAGGAGCGGGTGGAACGTTGCAGCTGTACCAGGAGCCAAGCCCAGGGCTGAAGGGACCCTGGTGGTCAGGGAGACCTTGAGTGCATGTAAGGGGGCACTCTTGGCTGTACTTGCTCTTGAGGAAGGGTTGGGAAGCACGCCTACTCCCATGTTCACAGACTTTCAGGAGGGCAGAAGGCAAGAGCCCAGCGCCAGGAGGCCAGGTCTCACCGGAAGTACCGGCCCCCAAATGGGGGCCTCACCTGTCAGGCTGGCTGCCCCAGCTGTCCCCCACATCCCGGGAAGGGAGGGGGCAGTTAATTCATAGAAAGAAGCTGGACTCATTGTGTGTTGGCCACTGCTATGGATGGCGCTCTGCCCTGCAGACAAGTGTACTGTCCACTCTGAGCCCTCTGCCTGAGGCGGTCAGCGGGACTGAGAACAGGCCATGCTATGCTCACGAGGCAGGGCTCCTGTAGGGGGTGCGTCCAAGCCCTTCTCTTCTGAGACAGAAAAGAGATGGAACACTCAAGCTAAGCAGCGATGGGGGAAGAGAGATGCCGAGCTCAGGAGGTACAAGGACCTTCAACCGGAACAGGCACAGAGAGGAAGCCTTTCCCTAGAGCGGGCACCCGGACTTCCGGTGCCCTCAGCTGTGAAAAAGAAACCCATTTCTGTTTGCTAAAGACACTCATTTGTGGAATTTCTATTACGGCAGCTGTCAGGGTCACCAAGACAGTCAGACCAGTAGTGTGGCTGAAGTCACCTAGGGGCCTTTCCTAAGCCCCCATTTCTGAATGTGTACAATGGGACAACCACCCTTCCCTTGCCCTGCGCAGGAGGCCAGATCATGTGCGTGCGGGGTGGGGTGGGGGTGGGGAGTTAGTGTCAGGGGAATGGTACCACCATGACCAAGGGACTGTGGGTGGACAGCTGCAAACGGCAGTCTACACCCTCCTTCCCAGGATTCCTCTGGCCCTGGGACCCTGCCCCCACCCCATGACCTAGCATGACGACATGTCCAGGTGGAAGTTCCACTTCAACTAAGCAAAAGAAGGAAGGGGAAGTGTGTGTGTGGTGCATGCATCATGCCTCAACCCAGCCGGGGACTCTGGCTCCTGGCGGAGGCTCCTTTTCCAGGTAGCTTATCGGAGAGGCACACTGGAGGGCATCTTTGGGAGTGGTCACCGGGTGCAGCACAGCCACACCCCAGGAGTCAGCGGTGGCTCCTAGGTGTCTCCCTCGAGTGTCATTAGACTCTGTGGGACAGCACCACCACACTGACCTCCTCAACTCCCTCAAAGCCATTGCTCGGTATCCCCTCAGCCACTCTCCCTGTCCAGACCTCCTGGCCCCTTTGGATAGGGAGTCCTTTCTGGTCCCCGGTCAAAGCTCCAACCTATGGCAAGAGTGAACATTTTTTTTTTTGTGAAGAGGCCAATGGACAGGATCTGGCCCTCCCTCTGGCCTCCCCACTTCAGTACCCGCTGCCTCTTCGGCTAGTTAAAGTCACCTCATCCTCCAAGTAGCTGAGTGCCCGCTACGGATGATGTCAACTAGACACCCCTGGCTGGGGTGGGGTGGGGGGGTGGAGCCAAATCTGTCAATCAAGTTGCAGCCTGATGACACCTCCTTGATGTCATAAGCCTTTTGTGGACGAGGGAGAGACCAAGAAGAGTGTGGTCTCTACCTGGCCCTTCGCCTGGTCCTCAGACCTGCTGATCCGGGCGCCTTCAGCAGACTGCAGGCGGAGGGTCCATCTGGCTGACTGCTGACCTCTACCTCCACCAGCCTGTGCCCTGTTGCTCTGCTTCACATCCTGGCCCAACTCCTCCAGTTCCCATGGCTTCCTGTTCATCAGCTTCCACGCACCACCTTGATGCACACCGGACTGGACTTCGCTGTCCCTGCATCTGTCTGTGGAAACCACGTCTTGCCCCCAGTCTCCTTCGACACAGCACACACACACAGACACATCGCTGGTTCTGTTTCTCTGGAGAACCCAATGGAACCCAGCTGCTCACCCACCAGCTCGCTGCTCTTCGGGAGAAAGATATGGCAGTCTGCCTCCCAGGCAGTCAGCTTCCAGCTTTGGGAAGCCCGTGGGGTCCTTCTCCCGTGTCCTGGAGGACCAGTGGGAGTTGGGCATGGGGGAGCTCTGGTGGTGACAGGGTGGAGTGCCAGGTCACACTTCACTGGAGGAGAAGAGGACAGCTTAGAGACACCGCCACACACACACACACACACACACACACACACACACACACGGCAGTTCTCCTCTGTCCCATGGGGATGCTATGAGCTCACAACCCACTGCAGATGGACCCCCTCCAGGAAGCCTCCTGGAGTGCA